AATCTTCAAGTGAGAGATTTTCAATCTTCAATTATCTGCGTTTTTTCAATATCTTTTTTTCCTGTGAGGCTTTTGTTTTGTTATCATGGCAATTAATTGAGTTTTCATTTTCGTTTGATCAAGAAGAGTAACACGGCTTCTGTTTTATTGAGTTTTGAAATTAATCTGAATGAAAGCATGAAATTCAATTGAAGCAATTGAATGAAAGTTCAATCGAAAGCTTTACTGGATCTTTAACCGCAAACCACTGAGTAGATGATTTTTGAAAGCCGAAATGTGAAAACATTTGATATCATATTGGCAATCACTAAAAAGAGTTATCATGGCGAACTGCAGCGTTGAATGCTCATCGTTCTTCAATTATTTTTTTTTGTAATTACTCGTATTTTTGCTTCCTTCTTTTCATCTTAATTTGACTCATTGGTAACTGAATCTCTATCTTGTTTTTTGGTTAACAAGAATTTTGACAGTCAATCCAATCCAACTATAACTCACTGTTAACAAAAACCATGCTATGAATCAAGAGAAGAACCTTTTCAGTGATACTCAAGTTGTAATATCAACCGTTTCCTCAAATGCCAATATAAACTGTAATATCATTCTAAAACTGCTCTTTCGTTTTTCACGAATTCATTTGTCGGAATTCGTTTTTCACTAATTTCAGAACGCAAAAGTATAGTGAAAATATCCTTTGTAAGTAAAAACAAAAGTTTTTTGACAAATTTAGAAGCTTGAGCTTTTTCGACGAAATCTATTATGAAACACTGTTATGATATAAACTCTGTTATGAAACGCTTCAATTTTTTTTTAAAATGTTTTAAAATGCAATTCCTCCTTTTTTAACAGAAAAATGCGATCAAAGTCTTTTTAACAAATTTATGACTGCTTTTTTTGCAAATGATGATATTGATTTACAAATGATAATATCAGCTGTTCCCTTCGAAAACATCAAACCTTAATTCTGACCTATGGGTTCATACTTTTCATAATTAAACTTAGCCAAAACAGATTTCATTCACATTCGAACAAAAACTCAGTAAACAGGGCTTCTGTTTTATTGAATTTTGAAAGTGTTCTGATTCAATGCATGAAAGTTAAATTGAACAGCAATTGAATAGAAGTTCAATTGTAAGCGTTTCTGGATCTTTAACCGCATTCCACTGAGTATGTTGAGTTTTAAAAGCGGAGAAGCGGAGACATTTGATATCTAGTCAGCAATTGTTAAAAAAGAAACTAGTTGTCCCGGCGAAGTGCAGCATTGAACGCCCACCGTTCTTCTAATAGTTTTTTATAAGTACTCATTTTTTTGCTTTCTTGTTTTCATCATAATTTGACTCATAGTCAACTAAATCTTTTTGTTTTATGTTATCAAAAAATTTAATGATGTAATAATATGAGTCTTTTGATTCAATTAAATATAAGATAAGGTTTGATGCTTAAGTTACAAAATGCAAATGGTTTTCATTTTTTTGAGCTCCAAGTTTTCTAGGTTAACGGAATTTCAAGATACAACCAACGTGTATGGATTGCTTATTGGGATCAAAGTTGGTTCGACTCTTTCTTGTTGAAGTTTTGACACAGAATACCTTTAATCAATTATTCAATCATGAAATTTAGGTAATGAGTTCAATTGCTTGTGATTTTATTATCAGATTAGTGCTTATTTCAATTTTTTGTTGAAGCGGTTTTTGCAAGTAATGATATTGATTTGCAAATGATACTATCAGGCGTTTCCTTTGAGGAGTTTCAATCTTTCTTTGACTCATGGGATCTTACTTTTTTTTATTAGACATAGCACAACCGATTTAATCAGCATTCGAACAAATCTCAGTATTTACCAACACTGAACAAATAAGTTGTTAATAAAGATGACTCGGGTTTTCGAAGTTTTCTTCAACGAAAGTTTCACAAATGAAATGATTGGCTTTGTAAATATTTCTGATGTTTTTTTCTTGTTGTTTGTAGCAGGAGAGTGAGAGGAGTCGAACATAAAGCAAAAATGATTTGGTAGTATGAAAAACATACCCAAATAATTAGTTTTTGGATCTTGTTGATCAACCCCGATTGTTGATTGAGATAAATCTAAACCTTCAGAAATTTTTTTTCTTTGTAAATGTGGTAACGAGAGCCGGAGTTTGTAAATGGATAAGTGTTTAATCATTTTATTCTGTTTTTTTTTGTAATATGATCAAAAATTGCAGTTTAAAAAAATACCAAAAAATTTTAGGATTAAGTGTTTGTACGGTTTGTGAAGAATCTTAATCTACAGAAATATGTTTTCCATGTAAAATTGTGTACGACAGCTAGACTTTTTAAATGTTTAAGTAATCAATCACTAAAGTCTGTTTTTTCGTATCGGATCAGAATTTGCAAATTAGAAAAATAAGTTTTGGATAATGTGTTTGAACTACGGTTTGGGGAAGAATCGAAACATTCTGAGATGTTTCCCATGTGGAAATAGGTACGACAGCTAGACTTTGTAAATGGTGAAGTATTATTTGACTTGAGCCTGTTTTTTACAATTCGATCAAAATTTGCAAGTTTGTTTTTATTTATCCTATCAAAGTTGGTAAGTTTTCTTAGTACTGAAGTATCCGTTATTGTACTGATAAAATAACGGATACTTTCATCTTAAATCTAATTTGCGGTAGGACTTCAACCAGGCTATGCATTGATAGAAGAACTTTTTCCTCTGACAATTTCTGATTTAAGTTCTCTCTGCTGCGACCATCTTTTATTCAAAAACAGATTTCATTCGCATTTGAACAAAATTTCAGTAATTGACTATCTAGGTTAATGACTAATTCAGGGTTTGGAAGATAGTAAATTTCAAATGCGATGAGTTAGTTTGAGTATTTCAAAGCGAAAATGATTTAGTAGTTTGAAAAACATACCCAAATAAATAGTTTTGGATCTTGTTGATCAACCCCGGTTTGAGAAAAATGTAAACCTTCAGAAATATTTTCTTATGTAAATTTGGTAACGAGAGCCGGAGTTTGTAAATGGATAAATATTTAATCAATTCATTCTGTTTTTTTTTTGTAATATGATCAAGTTTTGCAATTTAAAAAAATACCAAAAAATTTTAGGATTAGGTGTTTGTACGCTTTGTGAAGAATCTTAACCTACAGAAATATGTTTTCCATGTAAAATTGGGTAGGACAGCTAGACTTTTTAAATGTTTAAGTAATCAATCACTAAAGTCTGTTTTTTCGTATCGGATCAGAATTTGCAAATTAAAAAAATAAATTTCGGAATGTAGTATCAGCTACGGTTTGGAGAAGAATCGAAACATTCATGAGATTTTTCCCATGTTGAAATAGGTAAATTAAAATTGGCAAATTAAAAAAATAAATTTTGGATAATGTAGTATCAACTACGGTTTGGGGAAGAATCGAAACATTCTGAGATTTTTCCCATGTTAAAATAGGTACGACAGCTAGACTTTGTAAATGGTTAAGTATTATTTTTATTTGATCCTGTTTTTTTGCAATTCGATCAAAATTTGCAAATTTGTTTTTTTTTATCCTCTCAAAGTTGGTGAATTTTTATAGTACTGAAGTATCCGTTATAGTACTGATAATATAACGGATACTTTCATCTTAAATCTAATTTACTGTAGGACTTCAACAAGAACATTTTCATGGTTATGCAAACGATAAAATCAACTGTTTCCTCTGACAGTTTCTAATTTAAGTTCTGACTGATGCGACCTTCTTTTATTCAACTTAGCAAAAACAGATTTCTTCGCATCCGAACAAATTTTTAGTAATTGACTTCTTAAAACTACTCAAAATGGTACTTACTACTAAATCTTGGAAATGGTAAATTTTTATGGCGTAAAAATTGACTATCTAAGTTTAATGTTGAATTCAGGGTTCGGAAGATTGTAAATTTCAAGGGCGATGAAATAAATTGAGTATTCAACTCGCGAAAATGATTTGGCAGTATGAAAAATATACCAAAATAAATAATTTTTGGATCTTGTTCATCATCCCCGGTTTGAGAAGAATCTAAACTTACAGAAGTATTTTTTTTCCATTCAATTTGGTAACGACAGCTGGAGTTTGTAAATGGTTAAGTATTTAATCAATTTAGTCTGTTTTTTTTTGTAATATTATGCAATTGAAAAAAAAAATACCAAAAATTTTTTAGATTAAGTATCTCTATGGTTTGGGAAGAATCTTAATCTACAGAAGTATGTTTTCCATGTAAATTTGGTTACGACAGCTAGGCTTTTTAAATGTTTAAGTAGTCTATCACTAAAGTCTGTTTTTTTTGGTATCCGATTAGAATTTGCAAATTAAAAAAATAAATTTCGGATAATGTAGTATCAGCTACGGTTTGAGGCAGAATCGAAACATTCTGAGATTTTTCCCATGTTGAAATAGGTAAATTAAAATAGGAAAATTTAAAAAAATAAATTTTGGATAATGTAGTATCAACTACGGTTTGGGAAGAATCAAAGCATCCCAAGTAAAAATAGGTACGACAGCTAGACTTTGTAAATGGTTAAGTTTTGTTTGACTTGAGTCTGTTTTGTGCAATCCGATCAAAATTTGCAAATTTACTTTTTTTATCCTATCAAAGTTTGTAAATTGGAAAAAGCATTTCTCTATCTGGCTTTTCAAAGGAGTCTGAGCATTGTAGTGTTTTACAGCTGAAATGCAAAGTAAACTGAATAAGCCAAGTAATGAAGTTTTTGGTATTGTTTAATTTGCTGAGCCCAAATCTTCTAGGCTCACATATTCAACAACCATAAAAAGGCTGCCCTACCTAACCCTTAAAAAATATAATTTGAAAAATGTATCTCGTTTTTTATGCTTTTGACCTTGGTAACGAGGTTAAAACGTTTTGTGCTGCTTGCAAAACAATTGGCATTTTTTATGAAGCTTCTTGTATTTAGTGTAATTGATTGCATTATGACTTTCACTTTGGTCGAAGCGGTAAAAACAACAACGGTATAAAGCATCGATTTTCAGCATTGCAACCGTTTTCAGTTCATGGCCCAAAAGGGGTATGGAGACATTCAGTATGGTTCGGCGAAGCGAAACCGTCCAGCTGGACCCACCGCAGCAAACCAAATTCCACTGGGGAAACGGGCCTCTAAGCCCAACTCGGGACCTTCTTACAACGCCCAGCATCTGCCGCCAATGCCGGGTGCAGCCATGTACAATCCTGGAAGAGCAGGGATCCCCAAATCCCAAATGGGGCTCGGGAGTCAAATGAGACAAATTGTTCCAATGCCAATGCAACACCAGCCGCAACGTCCACAGCAACAAGCACGCCAGCAACTGCAACCAAAGCGCCCACAGCAGCAACAGCCTCAACGTGCGCTGAATCTGTCGGGTCACGGAATGCAAGGACAGCAGCAGAGAATGCAAAACCCGGCTCATCAAATGGGAAGATATGCTCAGGAGGGAACCTACTCGGCAAATCCCATGGCGATGATGAGACAGACTCCTGATGCGACGGCGGCTCCTCCTTATGTGCAGCCGTCTTATGGTGCACCAAGTAAGATCTCTTGGCTTCACTGCTGACAACAGAACTTGAAGATTTAAGAAAAGATTGGAAATATATTTCGTTAATTATAATTCGTTTTCGTTAAAAATTTAGCAAAACAAAATAACAAATGGAAAAGGTGGTTACTTATCCATCATGCACCACTAACTGCAATCCGACAGTTTTGAAGAACGAGAGCTAATTTAACGTATTGTGTTTCATTGTCCAGACAACGGAGCGTGGAGGAACTTCAATGTGTTTTTGTTTCACGCGAAGTGAGACACCACGAGTGATATGACATCCAAATTTTATGCTTGCTATTTGGAGAGCAATGGTTGTCCTTGTTTAGATATGTATGGGATGGGAAAGGCTTCAATGAGTGGGCCTCGAAGCACGGGTTACGAAATGATGCAACCTCCTAGAATGGGTATGGTCCCGGCTGGTCCGAGTGCTGGTTACTCTGGAGCTCCCAGGATGATGAATATTCAAGCTCCGGGACCTTCCAGTTATCAAATGCGTGGTTAGCTGAATATAGTTATAATGCTGATTTTCATATGGAAACTCTTATGCATGCTTTTACATACATGTATCTCGCTATTTTTGTTTTCAATACTTCAATGATGTTTATTTAGGACCATCGAATGTACCAGCTGCTAACTTCGGGATGCATGCGACTTCAGTTTCTTTGGAGATGCCATCTTCATTTCAAGGTGGTGAACCAGAAATGATTAGATACGGCGGAGGTATGCAGGAACCGTCCCAATCCCAGGCGCTTAGTAGTTCTGCTGTTGTTCCGAGTCCTCAAAAGAAGGCGCCAGCTAATGTCAATATTATTGACATCGAGAAGTACAGCAAGTTAGTTGGTTGGGACCGATTAACAAGAGCTCCCGACGACGTTGTGATTGGACTTCTGAATGCCATTTACGACAACATCAGTGAAATGGAAAACCTTACTTCGGAAAAAAGAATCTACGAACTTGTGAAGCTTCTCAAAGAGTACCTGAACCTTTTATTGGTTCCAACTTACGAGTTCCAGACGTATTTTGAGCAGTACCTGAAGAGATTAATCAAGGATCAAAACTGGATCTCGATCACTACTGCTCAGGCGCTGTGTATTTCAGTAACAGCTCCTGATGATGAAAAAACGCCTGTGAACCGCAAGTTCTTCTGCAATTACTGCACTCTTAGTTACAGCTCGTCTCTGTTTACATGCCAGATGTGTCAATATTCGTTCAAGCACATAGCAGATTTGCAAGCTCATGAGTATCAGTCTCATGGGATCTCAAACAAAGCTCTGTACGTATGTGATATATGTACTCAGAGCTTCCCCCATAGTCCAATGCAGCTAAGGGATCATATTTACGAGAAGCATATCTGTTCACGTAAGCATCTCGAGTGTCCGTTTGGTTGCGAGAAACTCATTTTAAATATGAGTGAGTTTTCTTATACTGATCACATCAAGTCGACCCATCAGTGCTCGAAGTGTAAAGATATGGTACAAGGATCTATGGATATTCATATGCAGATGTTTCACAATGAGAAGCGAAGGGTCGAAATGAGCCCAGATGAACCAAGAAGAAGCGAAAAGCACAGCTCAAGAGGGTCTTCTTCCAGAAGACTTGATGGTCGAAGTCGCGACAGAGGTGATATGCCCCGTGGTAGGTCTTCGCCACCAGTAGCCCCAGCTAGATCGCGAAGTCCACTTCCTAGTGGCAAGGGACGCAGTAGTGACTACAATAACATCATGGACGTCGATGTCGCAAAAGCCCAGGAGACGCTGAGAGAAATGCAGAGAGCTAAAGAGTTGATGGGTAGAATTGATAATAGCTCTTCGGGAGAACATTTTCACTACCAGGAACCGCAAAGTAAAGCGAAGTGGCCGCAGTGTAAAATGTGCAAGCTTCAGCAGCCTCCAGGGGGTTTCAAATGTGGGAAGTGTAACCAGACGTTTCCGTATCGTGTGTTTTTGTTCAAGCATATGAAAGATGCTCACAAAATGATAATGCCTCGATCGTTCGAATGCGAAATGTGCGCGAAAGTTTTTTCTGACATAAGCTTCCTCCATCATCACGTGACAAAAGAAGCGCATGTTTGCAGCTATGAGCATTTGCAATGTACGTACGGATGTATGATGCTGTTCCAAAACAAGAACTCACTGGATGTACATACTAATGCAAAACACGAATTCATGTGTCACATATGCGAAGCCCCGGTAGTCAACCAGACTAAAAAGAAACACTTCTCTCTTTACCATCCTGGGGAGAAGTTCATAGCACCGACTGAAACTTTAAATTCAGAAGAAAGTATACTAGGAAACGCAGTCTCTTCTGCTGCGAGTCAGAACCCCCAAACTATCACACTGGCGCCTAGGATTCTCAACCAGATGCGCCAGTCTATTTTGAATCTGGCTGCCAATCGGCAAGATCTCTTCATGACTATGCCTCCCCCGGCGCTCAGCGAAAAAGCATTTGCTTCGAGAAGTAAGACCCAATTGGTCAATATGGGCTATATACATTGCAGACGATGTGAGCTAGCTTACCACCCGTCTTTGCCTGTTTGCAAACGTTGCAACAACGTTCCGTTCCTTAGTATGGCGGCGTTGAAAGAACATCAAGTTGCGGTGCACAAGCACGCAGACAACTCTGGTTACAAAGAGTGTCCGGTAGTCACATGTGGTGGGAAATTCCAAACTTATTTGCAATTGATGAATCATCAAGTGGAGCATTATTGTCGGGAACATACCGAATGCCCCTTTGGTTGTAAAACATTAATCGAAGGAGGAGACGCGGTACTGGTGCATCATTGTCGCATTATGCATCCGAATAAAGAAATTCCGAATCTAAACTCTGTTGGAGGTAGGCGCGACGAGGCTGTGACCACGGAAAATTTTGTGAGTTTGCAGAAGCTACAAGAGAAGATGCAGAAAAAAGGATCCAGAGCTGACGACCAAGCAATGGAGATAGAAGTTACACTGAAGTGTATAGATTGTGCATACACATGTAGCGACGATACCATTAGAATTTGTGAACATTGTCCGCCTGCTAATGCATTCAAATGTGCCGACAGCGATGAACTTCGAGGTCATCTTTCGGAATTTCACAAATTGTTCATCAAAGGAGACTTTGTATGTACGATTTGCTCCAGTAAAAGAGATCAGCCTCTGAAGTTTTTAGATGATCCGATCAAATATCTAGAACATAGAAGGAAAGTCCACGGAATCTGCACTGCGCATCAGCGGTGCCCAAACTTGCCTTGTTTAGTAATGTTTGATCCTAAGTCCGTTGCTGGCTCTAAGCATATCAGGATGTTATGCAACTTCATGAAGGAACCTCCTCAACCTGACGTAACTGATGGAGATCCGTGGAAAAATCCTGGATGGAAGATGTGTTTGAAATGTCGATTCACGGCTGAGGTTACACAGATTTTTGTGTGTGATAACTGCGAGGATCCTAAGCCTTTCTTCTTCAAAGACGAATACTACGCACATCTGACTCTGACACATTCGTACAAAGCGGAGTATACATTCGTGTGCTTCGTGTGTAAAGCACAATTCGGATCTAATGCTAAGGCCTGGTTACATCATCGGGAATCTCAACATAGGATCTGTGACCAGCATTTGGTCTGTAACCAGAAGGATTGTGTGTGGATGGCACCAAATAGAAGCGAAATTGAGCATCATTTGCAACAAGATAACTGCATGGAGCATGAAATCCGAGGTGTGGTCGAGGACACAAAAATTTGTCACGTATGCTCTCAGATATTTTCGGACGGTGTCATTTTTCAATGTGTCATGTGCACCAGATCCAAGCAGCAGTTCATGTCGTTACTTGAGTATTTAGTTCATATTGAAAACATTCATGATCACAAAATCAAAGGAAATTTTGACTGCCTCGAGTGTAACTTCAGTTCAAGTACGCCTTTCGCACTCTCGAAGCACAACCATGCGGTTCACAGAAAGTGTCCCTCACATAAGTTCTGTCCGAATAATGTCAAGTGTTCTGTGGTTTTCCCAGCTGAGAGTCTAAACAAGGAACACCAATGTCTATTTGCGATGGACTCGGCTCTTAAATCTCTGGAAACTCCTCCAAAACGACGTCTAGCGGATAGGATTGATTCTTTCCAAGCGCCTGAACAGCGTGTGATCCGAAGTCCGATCGTCTCCGAGAAGCCAAAGGTAATCGACATCGATGATTCCGAAGAGCTGAAATGCAATGAATGCGGATTCAGAGCTGAAAAAAAGGAAGATTTGAAGTGTTCAGTCTGTGCAAAGACTTGCATCTCAGAAATTGAGCTGTGTGCTCATATGGGAAGCGAACATAATTCCATTGTGCGCGGGAAGTTCGACTGTATATTTTGCGTACCTAAAAACGTATTTGAAGGACATCCCTCCAAGGTTCTGGATCACTATGAAAAGGTGCACAAATTCTGTCGACATCACAAGAAAAACGCGGATCGCAGTGCTCTGGTTCCAGTCTCCAAGTCTGAAAAGGCCCTCTCCAAGCTAGGGTCGTTAAAGCGCATCGACCCACCAACGAGCAAAGTGTCTCGTCCTGAAGACAAGTTCCTTGAAGCAATTGGCATGGCGAAGAAATCCGATCAAGAACCGGTGATTGTTGTCAATATTGACAATTCTAGACCTCTGATTGAAGATATGGAGAATTTTGCAAGAAGGCAAAGAGAAAAAGCGTTGCCAATAGACAGGGAAAGGACCATCGGATCGTCGGTAAACAGGAGAAGTGCTTTGGAGCCTAAGATAATTCGGGAACCCATCAGACCGGCATCGCCTCCAAAAGAACCGGAGCTTCCTAAGTTGCCTGAGAAATATAAAATAGCAACATCGGGTAAAACTAAGCTTTATGTTTGCAGAAGCTGTAACTACAGATCGATTATGCCTCCGCCAGGTAAGTTCAAGGGAGACATGAAATGTAAGCAGAGAAATTGTGGGCTGATTTTTCACCAGAAGTATGAACTGGTCGCGCATTTAGAGCTGGCGCACAACAAACCTTTGCCACCGATTAAGGCGAAAATGGTGTGCGAGTTCTGTCGAGATGCGAATGTGAAAAACCCGTTTGCTCATAATGCTAGCGTTCCGCTGTGTGAACACAAAAAGTTGGAGCACGGATGTTGTCGAACGCATATAGTATGCCCTTCGGAAAAATGCACACTGATGTTTCCGACATTGGACTTGCTAGAGCAACACCATAATGAGAAAAAGTGTGAAATTTTGTATGTCTCGACTGGAGTTGACGAGGAGAAAGAAGAAGAGAAACTGGAAGTGTGGTCCAAAAATACGGAGTCACTGTCAATGTGGAAGAAGCGAAAGACGGGTGACCCTGAAAAGATGCTGACTTGTCTTTCGTGCAGCTTAAAGGCCGAGTCCACTGACTGTGGAATTGGGTCATTCAATTGCGATCACTGTAGCACGGCAGGCAAAAAATTAGCGTTTGCGTTTAAGTTTGAACTTCTTGCGCATATGCTGCGGGATCATTCGATGAATAAAGAAACGCAGGCGAGGTTCAAATGTGATATTTGTGATGATAAAGAAGTCTCGGCTATCAGTCTTGTAGCGCATAGAAAGACCAAGCATAATTTTTGCACTGTGCATTATCGGTGCACAAAACCATCGTGCAATAAGTTGTTCAGCAACGAAAATGATCTGAGACGCCACGAAGTGAAATGCGAACCAAGCTCAAAAAAAACTAAAAGCCCGGCTAAAACTTCTAAAGATGAAAAGGCAGAGAGAACTCAGGATCTGGTGGCGAAATATGGACTCAAAGAGGCCCAGAGTTTCAAGCTCTACGAATGTGGGACATGCGCTAGAAAGTTCGGCTGTATGACCATTTACAAATGCAATCAATGCCCAGAAAGTGTCTCGAACTCTTCGAAGCAATTTGTAAACCTGGTGGAGTTTTTCGCTCATTTGAAGGAAGCTCACAAAATAGAAACTGATATCGAGCATTCTTGTGCTCTATGTGATAGGTTCAAATCGAACGCGTATGAATTGCAGAAACATGTAATGGAAAAGCACCAAGTTTGTGGGCAACATTATCTCTGCCCCAGAATGTGCAAATATCTGTTCAAAGACAAAGAGGCCTTGTTGGAGCATTATCAAAAAGGAACTTGCACTAAACCAGATTCGCCTAAACGAAAGATAAGCGATTTTGAACGAACTCCGGCGAAAAGAAGGCTAGGCGACGGAAGTTCGGGATCAAGTCCTGCTGCCCGGCAAGAGCCGAGTGATAATTCTTCTGACAAACCGAAGTGGGATGATATGATGGCGAATATGTTAAAATACACCGACGAATTGTTAAGTGACGAGGACTCCTCGAAGCCGAAAATTATGAAAGTCGACAAAGCGAATCTGAACCAAGACGATGGAGGCGTGATTCTCCCAAATGACATGGATGAAGAATCCCAAGCGGCCGGTCAAATAAATGATAGCTTTAAGGAATCAGGAGCATCGCAAGAACCAGAATGTGAGAAATCGTTTCAAGAACTGCAAAATGTAGTGCTAATTGATGATGAAAATGAAGAAGAATTGGAAACAAAAGACGCCGAGAACTATTCTACTAGCAATGATGGAAATGAAAATGATTGTGAGTTCGCGAGTCAGAATGGCGATGCGCAAAACAATGCGTTAGTTGAACCCGAGGAGGGGTTCGGATATTCAGCTGACGAAAATGCAGCGACTGATGCAGGAATCGAGGGAGAAGAAAACCCGGGTGCAAAAATTAAAACTGCCGTCGAAGAAAATAGTGGCGCGAGCAATGCATTTGACGAGTCAGTGAACGATGAACTAGAAATAGATACCATGGGCGAAGATGATTCGTTTACAGTAGAGTTCTCGTAGAACGCAAAGTCAAAACTATAAAACGCAAGGTCTAAACAATGAAACTAAGAAGCGGTCTGTCTCATTTAAAGCAAACTCAAATAATTGGCCAAGCAATGAACAAAATGATACAAAATCGCAAATGTTTGAGCAATTTATTTTGAACCCAATTGTAGGGTCAAAGTTCAGCACTCGAAAGGAAAAATTATGTTTTTCAAGGTGTCTTATGCAAATTACAGTAATCAGATGACCCAAGCAAGAGAAATCAATAATTAAAACAAAGCAAAAAAAAATGTCTCACTACAATAATTTATATAACAATCCCATCGATTAAATTCTTTTAAATTGTACTCAATGTTATTTCAAAAACTATCCAGCCATGTTTAGCCGGTCTCATCCAGTTTTCAATTGAAATACAAGTCAAAATATTGAAGTCAAAATAACTAGATTAATCTGACAGGATTAGATTTGGCCAAAAGTTCAATTATTACTATCTTTTGAAAGAAAAAATAAAGTGTTAATGAATCAAATGACAAACATTAAAAGCTTGCTTGAGTATGGTTCGTTTTGAATAATAATTTTTATCTTGTTCGTTCTATTATTCACTGAGTTCATTAACACTTTTGCTACCGTCTGTTGGTTATGTTAATTTAATATACTATGACATGTTTTTCTCGTCAATTAATCAGATTCGTTTAGCAGATGATAACCAGATGAAGTTAAATGCGTCTAGAAAATGTATCACTTGAAGTTTTTTACAGCTTTTTCGGACCCGACTGTCTGTTTATTTTTGTCGGCTTAGTTCCCGTAGCATGGATTTTTTTTCGAAGATTTAGCTTTCTGCTAACATTCCAAATGCCATTCCCAAAGTCGTAATGGTTTAGGTTATTAGTGAGTTTGCATTTTTTTATTTGAACACTGAATTATACGTTTTTTTATCTGCTCGAAGTTTTTAAGCATACAATTTCAAATCTGCATACGATTTCGAATTAGCAACCATTTCAAATCGGATCATAGACTTTCATTTTTGCCAAACCTGTATGACAGAAACACCGAATCATTTTTTCCCGTCAACCATCAGACATTTAAACATGGCTGCATTTTCAATACTCGCACTATGCTAAGTTGTTTTTTTTTTATGTTGATCGTAAATTTACCAGGTCTGATTTGGTATAGTTTCGGTTTAAGTTTTTTTTCGGCTTCAAAATTTTCAGCTTACTTTATATATGGCTTAGTGGATTTATATTGCAAGGTTTGATGAGCGAAAAAAGTTGAAAATGCGTGTGTGAAATTTAGTCTAGACAAAACAAGGAAATTTTGGTAGATTAATTTTTTCGTCATTTTTCGAGTTAGTGGCTGCTGTCTCATTTTCTGCCAGCTAGTTTCTCATGCTATGTTTGTACTGAATCGCATGTGGTGCGAAGCTGTGCTTGTCCTCTGTTTTCAGTTTTTGTTTCGACCAGTGAAAGGGGGAGGAACTTGGTCTTCTGTTTTTTTAACCAAGTTTTTCAAGCAAACTGGTTTTGATAGCTGCATTTAGCGCTTCCTTGACAAAAAATGTTTTAAAAGTCAATTTTTTTTCTGCAAAAATCATCAAAATTGTTGAAAAACAGTTTGAATGTTTTTCATTTGTTTGATTTTTCATCTTTCGAAGACAAATGTAGTCAATTTTGACTGTTATCTTAAATGTCTAAGCGTCTGATAGTTTCTCTCGCCACTGACAAAAATTACACATTTTAATTTTTTCGCTAATTGATTTTTGGTTTGTGCAATGGAATTGATTCGCTTAAAGGAGTGCATTTTTTGCTATATAATAATTATAAGAAAAATGGTGCAAAAAATTGACTTTTTAATTCGAAAATGGATAAAAATTTTAGAGGTCTCAGCAAATATGTGTGTATTAATACCACAAATGTGTGTATTAGTTTTTTTAACGAAAAATCAGGTACAACAAATAATCAATTGGCTCGAGTGATATATCATATCAAAGCAGCACTTGCAGGCGTGACTCCATTGAAAATGAAATACTTACAATCATTCGAACAAAGCCGAGAAAATAGGTTTGAAATTTTAACCTAATTTTGAGCGAGTAAAGCGAGAGAGCGAGAATGTCTTTGAAGAGAAAGTTTAACATTTACTTAGTGAAAAATCTAATGTACCTCAGAAAATCTAGTGTTGTAAGCTTCATCTAGAGCTCTTGGGTAAAAATTATTCTGCGGCAAAAAGAAAATGTGCAATTTTTTTTTTGCAATATTCAATTTCTAATTTTTAGTTTTACTCAATGTTTGAAGACAGATGTTGTACGATTATGCCTAAATAGCTGACGTTCTTTGCGTTGGTACAGTTTTAATGGGTAACTTCCCAAATGGCATAATTCCCAAATGGCATACAAATAGAAACTTTTCCCAAATGGCATAAATTTCAAGTTTTTATTGTAATTTAAACGTTTTCTATCAATTTCTATTTTTATCATTTTGTCAGGAACGAAAGCATGTAAACAAGATTTGGAACTAATTGCTTCCAAACAATTTTAAGCAACAGATTTGTCGAAAAAAATTGACCACAAGTAGCTTATTAATAATCGCAAGCTTATGCTTCTTGCTTTTGATAAAAAGTTCTACAAGTTTTTCACGATAAAATGTCAATCAACATTTGAATTGACAATTTGACTAATTTTCTCACATTGTTCACGGAAAAATTGTTCTCGATTTTTCCAAAGCAACTGTTGCATGAAATTTATGCCATTTAGGAAATTCTTCATTTTTATGTCATTTGGGAATTATGCCATTTGAGACGTAATCATTAAAACGATTACGTCTCAAATGGCATAATTCCCAAATGGCATAAAAATGAAGAATTTCCTAAATGGCATAAATTTCATGCAACAGTTGCTTTGGAAAAATCGAGAACAATTTTTTCGTGAACAATGTGAGAAAATAGTCAAATTGTCAATTCAAATGTTGATTGACATTTTATCGTGAAAAACTTGTAGAACTTTTTATCAAAAGCAAGAAGCATAAGCTTGCGATTATTAATAAGCTACTTGTAGTCAATTTTTTTTCGACAAATCTGTTGCTTAAAATTGTTTGGAAGCAATTAGTTCCAAATCTTGTTTACATGCTTTCGTTCCTGACAAAATGATAAAAATAGAAATTGATAGAAAACGTTTAAATTACAATAAAAACTTGAAATTTATGCCATTTGGGAAAAGTTTCTATTTTTATGCCATTTGGGAATTATGCCATTTGGGAAGTTACCCGTCAAATTATTTTTACGTGGTTTGACTTTTGAGTCATTTTAAGTTCATTTTGAATAAAATAAATGATCCATTTCCTCAACTCTGTTCTTTTGTCAATCAAGAGTTATCTTAAGTGCATGGCTGCGTTCTGAGTTACCTTTACATTCCAAATTTGTTTTTTATATTGGTTGTAGAACTCTGGTCTGGTTTTGTTTATTGGCTTCGCATAGGGTCATCTGATGAGCAAAAAGTTTCTATAGGAGCGTGTTCTGAGTTTTTTTAGTTTTGAGACGGAGAGAGAAAGAGATGATAGAGAAAAAAAAATTGGCTCGGCTGAGCTGGTGTCTGCTCAAGCTTTATGCTTCGCAAGTTTTGTTTCGTTCTCATCTAAAAGCAAACCGTTTTTCCAAAAAATGAGATTTTTAAAAGACAATTCAAGAGAAACATGAAAATTTGTTAGATCTGTTTTTTTTTCTATAATTTCAATTTATTTGTTCAAATTTGTTATTTTCGTCTCATTTGATATCAGATAATTATGCTTATGTTGTATCGCAAGTAATGCGAAGCTCCGTTTCGGTACTGTACAACTTTTAAATTTTTTAAAACCTAATAAATTACGTTTTTCTGAAATTGGGTTAATTTTGTTAAAAAAAGGTGTCAATCATCACAAAATTTCTGAAGTAATACGAGTTTTATGACCTTATTATTTTCTTAGAAAGTGCGAGAAAAGTAATCAGTCGTTGCTTTTGAGTTCATTGGCACTTTTCCTACTGTCTATTGGCCATGTTTACACAAGCGTAGCTTGTGTGATAATATGAACTCTTTTTTTTCCAACATCAGTGGTCGGCTAATCATGCAATTATTAGTGTTCATTTTGTACACAAGCAAAGCTTGTGTGATTTTGAAAGCGTTCATTTTGATCAATAACCAGCTATTAATCAGTCTATGTTTTTGGTGTCAATCAAGGTCATATTAATCTAATTGAAATAGCTCATAGAAAGTACTGGCTATTGAAATTACAAGTCTGTGTTTATATTTTACAATACCTGGAATGGTTTGGAACATATAGGCTGAGACAGTAAATGCTAACGTCCAATTATTTCTCTCTATTGCAAATGATCCGAAGATCGGCATCGCATCTATTTTTAACTTCGCTTTCGATTATTTGATGTGCTTTAAGTGATGTGAACGTAACTTTCGGTATAACATTCAACTTGCATAGTTTCAGAGACGCAAATTGATAATTAGAATGGATAACCCCGGCTATGTCGTATACACAGATGAGATCGAACTGAAAGAACAATCCCGAACCGACTCGAACCCCAAAATCTCCACACAACAACCTCAAACAGACACTTCAAAATTTTCTTCTTCGACTTCAAATCAGAACGATTCGCAAGCTGCTGCAGCATCAAACGAATCAAGTGCAACCTCATCGTCTGCAGTGTGTAATGATTGTGGTGAGAGCACAGGTCCTGTAAGAAAGAGGGAGCCGAGACTAATCTACTGCAGAGATGGAGTGATTACAGAGGATGAAGTTGGAAAGTTATTTGATGAGTTTGACGAACCACTCTCAAAGGTAGGTAGCGTGTACGTAGATTGCGAGAAAAACAATGGGGAAATCGCGCAGGAAATTGAGATGTTTTTCAAAAAGACATTCAACTGTACAGAATATAGAAGCGTTTATATGCGGTTATCTGAAAATGCTGTAAGAGGAATTGTAAGTTTTGTCCGATGGGTAAAGGGTATTTTAGTTTTGTCGTCCGATACTCTTCGCTATACAAATTATAAATGCTTTTATGCCAGCACCTTAATGAAAGAAAAAATTCTGATCAGAAGGAAGCTTATTACTCCATTATTTTCCAATTATTTGAAGGCGCGATAAAATTTACTGTTCTCGATTGGTGAATATAAAATGCTGGGTTCATTTCAGACAGTGAGTAGATGGACTGAAGGAATGGTTCCTTCAGAAGAGAGATGGCCTAAGTGGTTTGCATTCTACTCCGTCTTCCTGTTTGTTCACGTGATCATCGCGTGTGAGTTCCTGGGGGAGAAATTGGCGAACTTCTTTGGAATCATGGACTCCAAGTACACATATATTCTGGACGATCATCTCAGGACCATCCAGCAAAGAAAGGAGATTGAAAAGTCTCTGGAAATGGAGCCGGAGATCACATTGACTAATGTGAGAAAAATAGACTCGAACGAAGTGCAAAATGATCAATGATTTGTGTCAGACTTTGAATAATTAAAAGCTTCTTCCTAACACGTTACTATCTGATTCGGAATAGCTGACTGGCTTGGTTATAAGGGTTGGTATACTTATAATGATATCTACAAGATATGGAAAAGTGCAGTTTTTCCTGTTCAAGTTTTCGACAAATTACGGCCATCAAATAAATTGTTGTCATTCGTTATAAGAAGATAAAGGAAGAAGCTATTATGCTTATGCACATATTTTTAGCTTAATGGATTGGCAAAATTTGTAAATGTGTTGACATACTATTTGGCAAGAAATACTATGTTCATTGTTTCAATGTTATATACTCTTAATTTGTTTCGGAATTAAATTTTTAGTGCCTTGTGTTTTAGAAACATCAAGGTCATGCCATGCTCGATATATGGAAAGAGACGATGAGTTTATATTGCTTTTTGTTTGATTTTTTTGAAAGCTATGAAATTTGACCTTATCAGGTTGTGTTTTTTAATTTGAGAAAATAGGAAAATACTTTTTATTCAGGCTCATTTTTTGTTCAGGTTCATTTTTCAACTTTTTGCTGCAGGATTTAATTTGAAGCGTACTTTGCAAGTTCATTTCTTAAGTGGGACTCACTGTATAAAACTTTAAATTGTTCTGGACTTAAATGTTGTAACCTTGAATTGATTCCTGCAGCGATGATAAATTACATACAAATCGTGTTTTATATGAGTTAAGTATTTGACTACCTTCAACGAGTTAACTATTTGGTACTAAAAGAGAAAAAGTCCCAAAACGCAATCAAACTTTGTGAATTGTCACTTCAGAGGATTCCAAATAATCAAATTTGGCGGTCAAGTAGAACCTACGGTCCCACAAGCGGAGGTTAGTGTAATATTAGGAAGTTAAATTTTTTTTCCAACCGAAGGCGCAATAAATGTGCGCATTTATTTGGTGACATTTTTGTAGCAAGAGCTGTATATTTGATTAACTTTTGCTGCGTATGCATTATATCTGCTTGTTTTCTGTTGCATCCGCTTTATGTTTTTGTATCTAGTTTATTGGTTGCTAGTGTTTGAGACTTATCACGAACTCATTGCGCAGATGCTGCTATGTCATGAGACTTTGAAGTATGAGGTCGGTGTTCGATTCTGGCACATAATGGAGTTTTAATCAGTTTTACAGTTTCTTTCACTTTTGCGACGCCAAGAGCAATTTTTGCTGTTTTCTCTATTGTTTGCCAAGTGCAGCTGCGACTCTTCTGTATCAAACTGATTCTTCTCCCATGTAAAAACAGTGATTACATAGAGTTCATCACAGTGATTACATAGAGTTTCAGACATAGAGTTCATCACTGAATACTCAACTACAGGGTGTTTCAAATAAACTGTAATTTTATAAAACGCTATAACTTTTTTTTGAGAAGAAATAAATACAAAATTTTTTCTGCACAAGATAGATAAGTGGCGGAGATTTGAATATCTGATAAAATTGTTTTATAAAAGATGCTGAAAGTGTCCGCCGTTTTGAGCAACACAGCTTTGTAATCTTTTCGTCAAATTTCTCAATGACTCTTCGATATTATCGGGCGTTATTGTATTTCGGGCATCTTCTACAGTTTGCATGAGTTCGTCAATACTTCGTGGATTCGCACCATGAACAATTTTCCCCAGATGACCCCACAGCCAAAAATCCAGGGGATTCAGGTCCGGACTCTGAGGTGGCCAGGGTATAGGGGTTCGTCTACCTATAATTCTGTCGTTGAACTTTGTCCCAAGCCAACTGAGTACGCGTCCCGTGCAGTGACATGTGGCTCCGTCTTGCATAAACCATATGCGCCTCAAGTTTCGTCGTTCTCGAAGGACTGGCCAGAGGTCGTGTTCCAGCATGTTCAGATACGAAAACTGGTTCAGTGTTATTGGTCGTTGCTGTTCGTCTACGAACCAAAACGGGCCAAGAACAGCTCCTTGAAGGAAACCCATCCAGCACATCACTTTCTTTTTGCCCTGGTACTTGCACTCCGCGTATTCTCTGGGGTTAACTAAACTCCATCTCCTTGAAGTGTTGATGCAACGCGTGGGGCAATGTAATATTCATTGATATATCTTCTCCGAACTTCAGTTGGGGTTTCATAAATTGCAAACAAGCAAATGATCCGTTTTTCTTCGTTTACTGTGAAAACCATTTCGTTGTTTTCATTTACGTATGAGCAATAGTTTAAAAAATTTTTTGTTGCGTGGAAGCGTGAAATAGTTGGAAAATCGCGGGTATTCACTATCGAGTTCAATTCATCAACGCAGTTTTTGAGTTTTATCAAATCTCCGCCTGTTCTACATAATATCACCGAATTTGAAGTCGAACTGATCAACAGTTATGAAATGAGAAGCTTTTATAACATTACAGTTTATTTGAAACACCCTGTAGTTTCTCATTATCGCATATGTGATGATCTCTTTCTATGTATGAAAATAGCAACCTTAAATGCTTAAAAGTTTTATAGCAAAAAAATCGTAGATATTGCTAAACCGCGCAACGATTAATTCTTTAACAAAGATTGTTATTTTATGCCGAAATCTTATAATTTTTCTCCTAGTTCAACCCAATTTCGTTTTCTATTTTTGAAAATTTATTACTCTTGCGATCGCTAGACTAGTGCTAAACTTTTTTTCCCGAAAACAACACTACACAGGACTCACTTCTGGACTCTTTCATAAATCCTCTTTTCAATTCCTCTTTTCCTCGTCCTCTTTGCAAATCCAACTCCTCTCTGTTGCAAGTATTAAGAATGGTTGTTCTGTTTTTTGTCCTTTTTTCGGCTTAATAGGCTCGGGCCTATTTTATATCGGCTTAGTGGCCTAATTTAGTTTCAAACCTAGCCTTATCGACAATATAATTCGAAATTTTCAATTTTTTTTCGATTTAGCGGCAGTCGTCTTTTGTATCGCATATGGTTAATATAGCATAACTTGTGCTGGTATTTTCAATCCAATAATGAAATCAACCACAATTTTCCGAAGTGTTAGATTTCAGTTGAATAAAGTAGTTAGTTTGTTAAGTTTGTTCAACATCGATTTATCTTCATTCTCTTCTATCGAGTTTTCTACACTATTTATCCTTCTGCAGTTCGCCAGTTCGTTGTAAAAAAATTAGAGTAATGAATTTTTCAGTCTTTTCCAATGTTGTCTAGGCTCCCAATTGTTGTTCTTGAGCGTTTTATTGCATTTTTTCTTAAGTTTTTTGCCGTAATAATTCTAACTGTTCTTGGCATAAAAAGTCGTTTGTGAATTTTTACAATTGTCAATCCAGTGCAATCCAGTGTTTGTTTCAAAAATGTTAAAAGTAGTTTATTTTTCAACTTTACATGAATCTGTTCTGAGATCTTTACCCTTGCACGAACCGAAGGTATTGCAATCGGAGTTATAGAGTTTTTAGTCTTTTCCAATGTTGTTCAGGTTTTGAATTGTTTTTCTTAAGCGTTAATTTGTTAATTTTAGTAAAGTTATTTGGCGTATTAATTCTAGCCGTTCATAGCCTTATATGTCATTGGTCTAAAAATTTATACTGCGCAATCCAGAGGAAAATAAACAGAATGATCAATATAGTACGATAGTGAAAAAATTCAAATAATTTCAAATAAATATACCATTATTTAGGATTAGGTAGGAATTAGGAACAGCCCGTTTCAGGTTTAAATTATTATTTTTTGGATCGTGGCTTCCGAACTAGTCTCTGTAGTGTCTGTTTTTTTGTTTGGTTCGGTTTTTATTGGATTTTCTAAAGCATGGTTTTTCTAAAGCATAATTTTTGTTCCAATTTTAACAGTTTTTTACTAAAACTGAAAGTTCAGTAATTTGTAGTTTTGCCAAGTCTGATTTAGGTTTTTTTTTCATTTCGTTTAAAATATTGAAATAGCTTCAGCCTATGTTAGATCAGTTTATTCAAATAATATTGCATAATTTAGAGGGCAAATACCATTGCTTGCGCTTTTGTGTTTTGTAATGGATGGGTCGTGAAAATTTAATAATTTTATGAATTTTTTTATCACAACAGTTCTGTGTTCTGCCCGACAGGCTTCGACCCAGAATTTGTTTCCGCTAGTTGCATAATTTCCAATTCATTTTAAAGCTGTCTATGATTTTTATCCTATACATCTATGAAGTTTGTAAAGCGGTATTTGGTGAACTTTTCAAGTTACTTTCTCAAGTAAATTTTGCAACTTAATTTTAAAAAAATTTCCCATTGACTATCGTGTTGCGCAATGTGTTTTTTGTATATCAAATTAGCCCAGAGCAGAGTAGCTCGTGTTGCTCCGTCTGTGCCATGACTGATGGCATCATTTTCTTATATGATTTTGTAATCCAAAAAGAAAGGATACAAGAAAAAAAATTACTTTCAACTCTTAAATAGTAAGATTTAGATTGAAAACGAAAGACCAAGGACGACAAAAACGAGCTGCTTATAACTCTGCATGTTATGTTTATTGGATCTATCCGCTTTGCGCTTTGCCTCTGAGTTACAACAATTTGATCTCATCTTTTAAAATCAATTTTGAGTTAATCTGAGTAGTCATTGACCTTTTTCTGAAATTGGTTAAAGTCTACTTGCATTTCCTTATCTATTTTGATAAATTTTTTATGAATGTTTTCAAAATTTTATTCAGAAGCAGTGGCTTATTTGCAGCATGAAAGGAAGAGTTCTTTAGGATTGGGTAACTCTTCCGGTTGTAGCGTTCCTCGTCCCTTAGTCGCTTATTAGTGTTGCTATTTTTAAATTTAGTTGAGTCTCTTTCAGCCGTAACATAATTAACAAAATCCCAAATATTCATCGCAGAGTAGCTCGTCTTGCTCCCTCTGGGGCATAACTGATAGTTTCCATTTCTTCCATGATTTTGTAATCCAAAAAGATAGGGTACAAGAAAAAAATTTCACCTTCAACTTTTACAATAGAAACAAATAGCTTATTTTTTGCTTCTGGCCTATGATATGTTTCACTGTAAATCTTTCAATAAATGTTTTCTCAGTCTGTAAAATATGTGGTAACACTTCTACACTGATGTTCGTTACCATCTCAAGCCTCTACTCTAGCTTCAAAAGTGGCTCTTAAGAGAGAAACTGGCTGTAAAGTTCTAGTGTCGTCTTTTAATCCACTTAAGTTCCGCTTCTGTTTTGATTTTCGTTGTCATGTTTTCAAACAAAATCATCAGTTGTGATTGCTGCTTAGTCAAATTTTTATACAATCTAGGTCTCCACGCCTATTATTCTCTCAGCCACAAGCTTTCGCCAGACAACTAACATGTCCGCCCTGTCTTCTAGTCTCCTTCCAGGCAGCTCGAAAGTGTTCTCTCGAGTGCTCCAGGAAGCCATAAACAATCAAATTA